TCAGCATATATACAGGGTGTAGGCCTATATAAAAAAAATGTACACCCTTTCAAATTCAAATTAGCCATATACCTTTTAAATATTCGTTGCCCTACAGTAAGCTGGCCCATTTTATATCCTATGCAGACTTGAATAATACTTAATTTAAACTTTTTTTTGTCTTTGAGTTGAGTACAGGGTGTCCCCCAAAAAACGCAAAACCATTGAAATAACGTTTTGTTAAAATTTGAATGCCCCGGCCAGCACTAAACGCCGCAAAGATGCGTAAAATATTGACAAGGGTTCATATATTAAATATTGACTTATTAAGAAATTAAAATATCTTTGTAAAGCGCACTATTTTCTGCTCTTGAGAATTAAAAAACAGCTTCTTAAAATTACTTATGCCAAGCTTTGAAGTCATGTGGGTTCAGAAGAGTGCTGAGGCATTCAAATTCTAACAATACGTTATTTCAATAGTTTTCGTTTTTTGGGGGATACCCTGTATTTGTTCATATACAAATAGGGGGGGGGGGGCAAATAGAAGTTATCCTAAATTCCCATGTGCAGAAGACCTAGCTTGTGTTTTCACGCATTCATTAACATATCGAGAAATAATATATACGGCTGTCAACGTACTACAATACGTCACGGTTAATGACCTATTGGCTATTACCTAATGACAAAATTTTGATCTAGACAAGTCTAGACAAAAATTTTATCACGGCTTAAAGGAGCATCACAGACAGATTAATAATATTCCGAAGTTTCGTTGCGAAATATTGTAATATGCGAATAATATAGTCCTGCGAAGTTTGTCGTTTTTCAGTCATTTTGTATTACTCACGGGAAATTGATACCTTTTTTTCAGAAAGCGGTATCAATTTCCCGTGCGCAAAACAAGTGACTGAAAAACGGCAAACTTCGCAGTAGACGGCCAGCCAGCCGATCAAAATACGACTGTCGATGGCATTTTTTGTTACAAGCAAACAACAGGCGTTTTCTTATAACTTAGACACTGGTGAGTCACGTTTGATATGTTGCCACCTCTGATTTTAACGAACGAAGAGAAAATTTTAAGCATTTGAAAAGTTTGCCTATTAAATTATTATACTCCCAAAAAAATGTGAAATTTGAAGTTCACTTAAATTAGCATCTATTGTTAGAAAGAGCATAAAAAAGTACATATAAGACATTTAAACGAGTAATACGATTTATTTATCCAAATTCGAGTTATGAACACTTAAAAATAGGTAAAATGCGGTGAATGACGTCACAAAAGCTGTTTTGTAGCAACTTTAAGCGCCTGTAACTCAAAACAGAGTTATAAATTCACACTTCTCACTTAAATGTTCTATATCTACTTTTTTCCGAACTTTCTGATTATATAGGTGATTTTTTGTGAAATTTGGTTTCAAATTTCACCGTTTAGTGAGTATAGCAATTTTAATAGGCAAAATTTTCAGATTCTCAAAATTTTTCACTTTAAAGTCAGTATCAGAGGTGGCAACCTGTCAAACGTTGTTCTCCAGTGTCTAAGCTATACGAAAACGCCAGTTTCCAGTTTGTAACTTTTATTGAGGTTGGCTGGCCGTCTACAGTGCCATATATATTATCTGCATTTTACAACATTTCGCAACGAAACTTCGGAATATTGCTAATTTTGGGATGCTCTTTCAAGCTGTTGTACATGTGGTGAAATGTTTGTCTAGACTTGTCTAGATCAATTTTTTTTTTCATTATTTAGGGAATATGTCACCATATTTGGATTGAATTTGAAAGGGTGTACATTTTTTGATACACCTTGTATGTACAGTGTGTATCAAAAAAGTATAGCCTTTCAAATTTAAATCAAGCATAACGCAGTCAAATAGTTATTTTGAGAACGAACACCCTCGTACCCAGGGATTTTGCTTCCGATGTTGGATGGTAC